TGCCCCTCCCCACTGTTGTGAAAATAAAATATAAACCAATATTTCTGCCCACAGGTTCCCAGGTGTAACCCTCCATAGAAGTAAAATAATTAGCAAGGTAACAAATTACTGCAGAAGGTAACTTGGAGTAGGACTGAGTCCAGATCATTTCTTTGCAGTGTTGTTGTGGCCGTGTTAGTCCCATGATATGAAAGAGACAAGGTGGGTGAGATATCTTTATCTTTTATTAGACCAACTTCAGTTGCTGAAAGAGACAAGCTCCGAGGAGCTTGAACTCTCTCTCTCTTTCACCAACAGAAGTTGGTCCCATAAAATATATTACCTCCCCACCTTGTCTCTCCATATCATTTAGCATTAATGGAGCTTGTTACAAACATTAATTAATGCTCACAACATGCCTGATGGACAGTGTTATCCTCTCTATTTTACAGATGGGGAAAGCAAGTCAGAGAAGGTTGATTTGTCCAAGGTCAGGTCTGGTATTCCATCTCCTCTCTCAACCACACCGTGTTGTGTTACACCAGCGGTTCTCAAACTTTTGTACTGGTGACCCCTTTCACATAGAAAGCCTCTGAGTGTGACCTCCCTTATAAATTAAAAACACTTTTTATATATTTAACACCATTATAAATGCTGGAGGCAAAGCAGGGTTTGGGGTGGAGGCTGACAGCTTGCGACCCCCCATGTAAGAACCTTGTGACCCCCTGAGGGGTTCCTGACCCCCGGTTTCAGAACCCCTGTGTTACACTGTCTCCCTGGTCTGAGAGGTTGTACGACAAGTATCAATAGTTGCCATCCCAGGCAAGTTTTCACGATCAAGAATAAGGAATAAGGAGCTGTGGTGGTGAAATATGGTCTAAATTCACTTCTTCAGTGATAGCAAGTGAAGGAGTGGATGGCTGAGGGGCTTTTCATAATAGAATCCGGAGCCTACGTCACTGGTTTGAATATGGCTCAGGTTGGTAGTGAGTGAAAGTCATTATCACTGATGGCTATTCAATAGCCTAAATAAGAGTCAGGCCTGCTGGTAATACTTTAATCCTTTTCTTAATTAGACTGCATAGTCCGAAAACAAAGGTGGGTCAAACAATGAAATATGAAACTACAGTTTTGGCTCATCAGGCCTTCATCAGCAGTAGTACAGAGTGATCAGATAGATGCCCAGGTTCAGTATCTGCACTGTTCAGCGTGGGAACATGTCTGTCTATATACAGTGAGACTATGTGGAAGATAATAAACCAGGTGTTTGGCAGACTAATCCCAAATGCTGCAGGTTTGAGGTCAGCTGGCTTGAACATGCAGTTGCGTGTTCA